CGGGGCTGGGGTCGGCCCCGCGAGCCCTCGGGATCTGCCGCCGGCCTTCTTGCGGTGGGGTGTCCACACGTGTCCGGGTGGACGTGCAGGAGCCTGGCCCTGACCCCCACCGGCGTGGCCCAGCAGGGTGGGCCGCGCTCCCACGCCCCAGCGGCCGCACCCTCCATCCTAGCTCAGGTGTTCCCGCCTGTGTTTTCGTTTTCTTTTTGTCAGTCGTGGGGCTTGAACTCTGGGCCTGGGCGCTGTCCCTCAGCTCTTCAGCTCAAGGCTGGCGCTCTACCGCTTGAGCCACAGCGCCACTACCGGTTTTCTGGTGGTTCATTGGAGATAAAGAGTCTCACAGACTTTCCTGCCCAGGCTGGCTTTGAACCGCGATCCTCAGATCTCAGCCTCCTGAGCAGCTAGGATGAAAGGCGGGAGCCACCAGCGCCACAGCATTTTGCTTTTCTAGCGATGTCAAATGATGTACAGGCTACGTTTGAAGGCTGCCAAGTCCTTCCTGACGATTGCTTTTCCTAAGAGTTCTCAAAACTTTGTTTTTGTCATGTGAGACTCCTGTCTGCGGGGTCAACTGGGGCTGTCTTCAGCCGTCTCCCTGCCCCAAGCACCCAGTTCTAAGGATGGTTTGGTGGCTGGAGGCTGGGGTGGTGGTGGGCGGAGGAAGCTCTTGTTTGTCCCCCTACCCTCCTGCTGGATGAGGCCTTAGACCAGCTCCTTAATGACGGGCCTAGGTTCCCACCCAGCCCTAGACTGCTAACAGCTGGGCTGTGTGTGTGTATGTGTAAATCCCTATTTGTCCAACCTTTTTCCCAGTCCTGGGGTTTGAACTCAGGGCCTGGGCACTGTCCCTGAGCTTCTTTGTGCTCAAGGCAAGTGCTCTACCACTTGAGCCACAGCGCCACTTCTGGCTTTTTCTGTGTATGTGGTACTGAGGAATCAAACCCGGGTCTTCATGCATTCCAGGCAAGCACTCTACCACTGAGCCGCCTTCCCAGCCCTCTCCAGACTTCTGTGATGCTCTGTTTCTGTAATGCTAGTTTCTGCCACTCGGGTCTGCCCTGGCCAGCAGCTCATGTATCTCTGCCAGCCTGGGTGCTCAGCAGAGAAAAGAATGCAGAATACTAACATTGTATTTAGTTATATAAACAGTGTTACATATAGAATGTTAAATCATGCACCTCTCAGCAACCCCATGACAAAGGACCATAAAACTTGGTGAGCTTAAACAATTTCTTTTTTTGTTGTTGGTGGTTGTGGGGCTTGAACTCAGGGCCTGGGCGCTGTCCCTGAGCCCTTTTGCTCAAGGCTAGTAGTGCTCTCCCACTTTGAGCCACAGCACCTCTTCTGGTTTTTGAGTAGTTCATTGGAAACAAGTGTCATGAGGACTTTTTTGCCCTGGCTGGCTTCAAACTGGGATCCTCCAATCTCAGCCTCCTGAGTTGTTAGAATTCCAGGCGTGAGCCACCATTGCCCAGCTTAGAGTTTTTCTTTTTTGTCAGTCTCGGGGCTTGAACTCTGGGCCTGGGCTTGTCCCTCTGCTCTTCAGCTCACAGGGAGCGCTCTACCACTTGAGCCACAGCGCCACTTGTGAGCCACTGGCGCCCAGCATTTTTTAATTTATTTTTTATTTCACTGGGCAGCTGGATATCTGAGATGAAGTTGGCAGGGCCAGGCCCCTCGTGTTATCCTCGCCTCTTTATCCTCGCCGCTTCCCAGTGTCTGGCGAGCCCTGGGCATCTTGGAGCTCCTTGGCTGTGGACATGTTGCTGTGTTCTGATTCCATGAATCCACGGCCACCTTAAACGTCACCTTCCCTCTGCAGCATCCTGACTTCCTGTCTGAACTCACAACCGCCTGACCCCGTACCCAGCTCCAGCCCTGGAGTGTATCTCTTTTGGGGAAACAGAATTGAACTCAGTAGCCATTAAAGAGAAAAAACTTCTGGGCGCTGGTGGCTCACGCTTGTCATCCTAGCTACTCAGGAAGCTGAGATCTGAGGATCACAGTTCAAAGCCAGCCTGGGCAGGAAAGTCTGTCAGACTCATAATCTCCAATGAACCACCAGAAAACCAGAAGTGGTGCTGTGGCCCAAATGGTAGAGTGCTCCTCCTTGAGCTGAAGAGTTGAGGGACGGTGCTCAGGCCCAGAGTTCAAGCCCCACGACCAACAACAACAAAAACGAATGACTGTATCGTTACATTCCCACATTTGATCTCAGCATTTCCTTTATGGCTAAACATGTTGAACATTTTCTCATGAGACCAACCTGAAGCAATCTCAACAAAACAAGCTGGTAACCGTGATTCAGTCCTCTAATGCCACCTACGTAACACTGGGGTCTAGGGCAAAGAAATGGAGGACTCTTCTTTTAGGATTACAGCACAAGGGGCTGAAGATAAGGTTGCAAGGACTTTCCCCATGGGCTGGGAAGGTGGCTCAGTGGGAGAGCGCTTGCCTTGCATGCCTGGGGCCCTGGGTTCGATTCCTCAGCACCACATAAGCAAAAAGAAAAAAAAGCCGGAAGTGGCGCTGTGGCTCAAGTGGTAGAGCGCTAGCCTTGAGCTGAAGAGCTGAGGGACAGTGCCCAGGCCCAGAGTTCAGGCCCCACGACTGGGCCCCCCCCCAAAAAAAAAGAGACTTTTCTGAACTCCTTAACATAGGCAGCCTTGGATTCCATAACGTATTTATGAAGCCCCACAGGAGACCGGAATACAGGAAGAGGGGAGGGAAAAGGGAAAGTTGGAGATCCACCTAGCCTCTAACGTTGACAGGAGCCGGGGAAATCGCACAAGCGCATGCAGGTGCCACTCATGTGTGCAAAGGCCCTGTGTGGCGTGTAGAGCCCAGCCATGGCGGAAGCTTGCGAGCGCCATCTAGTGGCCTCCGGGAGGACGTTCTGGACCAGGGTAAAGCCATTTGAGACAAAGTAATTTTGAGATTGAAAGCCATAAAATAACCTTGAACCCCAAATACTCTTCATGTCTCCGATGATGCTGGAGAAATGCCCAAATGACAAGCGCCATGCCTGGGTAATAAAATGGAAATGATTTCTTCAGGAACATGTATCCCTGAGCCAGGAGATTCTGATTTTTTGTCAGTCGTGGGGTTTGAACTCTTGGCCTGGGCACTGTCCCTCAGCTCTTCAGCTCAAGGCTAGCGCTCTACCACTTGGGCCACAGCACCACTTCCGGTTTTCTAGTGGTTGGAGATAAGAGTCTCACAGAGAGGTTCCTGCCCAGCCTGGCTTTGAACCACGATCCTCAGATCCCAGCCTCCTGAGTAGGTACCTGGTTTATGGTTGGAAGTTTTAAGGTCAACAGAGGGCCACCAGTACCACCAAAGGAACCAATACAGCAAACCAACGCAGCGGCTGGGGCTGCCTGCCTGCGCTTTGTCCCTAAGCTGAGTCTCTACTCCCAGGCAGGGACAGATCTGCCTCATGGCAGACTCTGGGGCCGTGGCAGGCCTTGGGTAGGAACGGTCGGCCACCTTGCCCTGGTCTTAGCTTACCCCTGGGAGGTGCACGTGCTCAGCGTGTAGCAGAGGACCAGAATGGAAGAGATGGCACCCATGTGGACTGCTGGCTCAAGGTTTTTGTACCAAGCTGGTAAGATCCAGTGACAAGCAGAGGCGTCGTCCTCAGGTAATGAGCTGATGAGCAGCACATTAACAGTGATGAGGGTCTCATTAACTTTTTCTCCTGGCTGGCCTAAAATCACAGTCCTCCATATTTCCATTTCCCAAACAGCTGGGATTACAGGCATGAGCCACCTTACCTGCCTCAGGTCTTCTTTACCTATTTATCTGTCTGTGGTCACCTAGGTTGGTTCAATATCTGGACTGTCAAGAATAGGCTCATCAAGCCGGGTGCTGGTGGCTCACGCCTGTCATCCTAGCTACTCAGGAGGCTGAGATCTGAGGATCGCGGTTCAAAGCCAGCCTGGGCAGGAAAGTCCTCGAGATTCATTTCCAATAAACCACCAGAAAACTGGAAGTGGCTCTGTTGGCTCAGGTGGCAGAGCGCCCGCCTTGAGCACAAAGAGGCCAGATGACTTCAAGCCCCAGGACTGCCAAAAAAAGGAAAAAGAATAATGCCATATGCTAATGCTCCACCGGGTTCGCGGCCGGGTACAAGTGCAGCTCAAGCAGCACAGGGGTAATTGGGACAACATTCCAAAGCCATGGCTTTACAGACTGGCCCGGTGGTACCGCAGCGCCCTGCCCCTGGGCGCCGGCCGGCCGGGACACCCTCCACCCGGCCCCCTCCACCGGGATTCCCTCCACCCAGCCCCCCTCCACTTGGCCCCCTCCACCGGGAC